ACAGCACCTGTCTTCCCAGTGATCCATCCACACAGACGCAGCCTCAGAGAGGGGCTGGGTGGGCACTGGTTCAAAGCGCAGTCTCGCGGGTAGGGCAAATTGCCATGACTCTCAGCTCTGACATTCACTCGCTGTGTGGCTTTGGGCGAGTCCCTCAGCCTCTCTGAACATGAGAACAATGATACCAACCTCGCAGTTTGGGGGAAAGGGGAAGTGAGATGGTGGATGTCAGGCACGTGGCCGGCCACAGGGCTATTTTCTTATGGTTATTTTCTATTTGTTACCAGCTGAGGCAAACTGCTTGTGACATCTTCAGCTTCCCCCTCTCATGGGGGAAGGGCCAGGGAGTGGTGACATCAGGCCCCCTGACAGCTTCTAGCCCAAAATAGCCCTCTCTTTAGACCAACTCTCTCCCGTTGCAGTTCCTACTGTCCCCAGCTGAGTTGACATCACCTTCAGCTGTGGCTCCTGCCCCATTGTACCTGTCCCCTGAACTGCTCCACAAGCAGTCCTGAGGAGGCAGGATTTTAGGCGACACCTTTGGCATAGGAACGGCTCTCAGAAATGAAGCCCCTGGACTCTGCAGCAACCTGGGTTAAATCACTGACCTCGCTGTAAGGTTTTGGTGTCACTTACCTTCCCTGAGCCTCAGTTTCCTCATCTGGAAAATGGAGCTATAACAGCAACCGACCAGGTTTATTGTGAGGATTCAAATAGGCAACATACATAAAGGACCTTGCGTGAAGCTGGGCCTGGAGCAGGTGCTCAATAAATAGTCCTGGTTATTATACCTGCAGCACTTGGACGTTTACAAAAGCACCTCCTTCTGCCTCCCTACTAGGGTGCCCAGCTGGAGCGAGTATCCTTTGCTGGTTATCCTCAGAAAGAAGTGGAAGGTTCTGAGCTGCCTGCTCTGCGCCCAGGATTTCCAAAGCAAGCAGCCCCTTCCAAAGTTTTTATCCTGGCCATCTGTCTGAGCCTGACTCCCTCTCCTCTGAATCGTGAACTCACTCTAACAGGTGTCCAGCCTCACGCGGTTTTCCCTCGGCCCTCCTTTGGAGACCCCAGCCAGGACTGGGTCTGCTCATTCATCAAAGACACTGAGTCCGAACAAGGTACAGGGACTTGGTCCAGGCCACCCGATGGCAGAGGGAAACTAGATGGGGCTCAGGCTGCAGGGAGGGAAGAGGGTGCCAAGTGCTGAGTCGGATTTAGAATCTCAGATGGGCAGAGCTGTAGCATCTGGGGGTGTGGAGTGCATTACCCTCAATGGACAGCTAAGGAAACAGAAGCCCAGAGAGGAGGAGGATGCCTGAGGGCGCGGAGCAAGTTAAGGGCGGGATCCAGCTGGTACTGGATCACCATTCAGTCCCTTCATTCATTCATCCAGTGAATGTGTATTGAGCATCTTCTCAGAGGCTCTGGCAGGACCTTAGGGATATAGTGGCAAACAAGATCCAGCCCCTGTCCCCAAGGGTGTCGTGGTCTTGAGGGGGAGTCAGGTCAGCGACCCGGTGATTCCCTTGTCCCCCTCCTCAGCAATCACAGGCACATGGGATGGAGACGCTTCTCTGGGCTAAACTTTCCATGCAGCTCTGAAGGGCCCATACCAGAGCCAGTCAGTCAGATCTTGTCTGGGCCTTGCCCCCGTCAACACATGGGGAAACCGAGGCCCCTCCATGGAGAGCTCTGCTAGCTCCCTGCTCCTTGCCTTCCTTCCTCTGCTTGTTGCAGAAAGAAACCCCTGTTCCTGTGTTTGCCACTCCCCTAGCCATGGTCTGAGCCCGGGCTGGCCTTGCTCTAAGGGTCCCTCATCTCAGCACCCCTTATGGGGCTCAGCCCTGTCTGCTAAATTGCACTAAATGAACCTGAGGTGTCCAGAACTTCAGTGTCAGCGGCTGGGGATGGAACTCCTTTCAGCCTCTGAACACCTGGTGAATGGAATCACCAGGATAGCCACTGGCTGAAAGGGAGTCTTGCTCAGAGCCCCACCCCCAGCAATGTCTCTCCCAGCCAAGTCCCCATCGAGGCTCCTGAGTCCCCAAGGAACTCAGCTTGCCAACCCCTGACCAGAAGCCTCACCCTCACTGGCAGTGTCAGAAAACCCTCTGAAGTTTCTCTGGTCTCCATGCCTTTGCACCTGCTGTTCTGTCTGCCTGGAATGCCTTTCCTTACCTCTTTGGCTGGGCCAACTGAATCGTCTGCTCACTCATTCAACAAGTATTTATTAGAAGCTTACTACCCATTAGGCAGAGAGCTATGCTCTGGGAATAACAGCTGTCAGATATCTTAGAGATTAGTGGGGGATACAGAGGTTCAACACGTACGCATACACTAATGTGCAGTGCAAATAGGAACAGGTCCTATAAAGGAAAAGAGAGACTAGGAGAGTGGGATCTAATTTAACGGATGGGGAACATGATCTAGGGAAGGCTTCTCTGAGGAAGTGACTGTCAGTTGAGATTGGGAGGAGGAGGAATTAGCTCAGTGAAGAGTGAGAGGAAGAGTATTCCAGGCAATGGAAATAGCATGTGCAAAGGCCCTGGGGTGACAACCAGTTTGGTGAGTATGAGGCAAGTCATATCAGTATGGCTGGAACCTATAGAGTGAGGGGGTAGGGCAGAAGAGTCAGGTCGGAAAAGGAGGCAGAAGAGGCAGACCTTGGTGAAGGGACCTTGTGGGTAGTGGCAGCGGGGGGGGGGGGGTCCGAAGAGAAGGAACCAGAAAAAGAGACTGAAAAATGGATGGGAGAAAATCAGGAGACTGACCTATCCCAGAAGCACACGAACAACAGGTGTCTCAAAAGATAGTTATCCACTTCTTCAGTGGAGGAGTCGCCTCTAGGAAGCTTTCCTTGACTCCAGGTGTGGGCTTCCCCATCAGAGTGTTTACCTCTCTCCCAGTCTAGCCTGGGAATGTCACAAAGGCAGAGACAAGGTTTGACTTGTCTCTCTAAATCCAAAACTTAGTCCAGATCCCAAAAGTAGCATTTGTTTGTTAGGTGAATAAATGTGTGTTGATCCAGGATCAGAGAGGAAGTGACTCAGGCCACAGTTTTCCCTTGCTGCCCTGACCAAGATGGCCCCTTCAGCTCTGGTGCTCCAGGGCACCCTCTCTCGGCTGAGCCTGGGCCCCCTCCATTCCTGCCCACCCCTCCCCTGTCCCTTCCTCTCAGATCCCAGGCACCTCGTCACCTGACCAGCTTCCAGCAGACCAGCAACAGGCTCCCACAACAGGTGACAAGGTGTGATGGTACACAGGCCCCTTCAATTAGGGGGCAAGCAGCCTCAGCTGCCAGGGGCCCAGAGCTTACCCTGCCCCAAGACTGCCGCTCACAAACCCAGGGGGGACAGCGGCGGGGCAGGGGGGGCTGTGGGTTCCTGAGACATCACTGGGTTCCAGGTGGGGAGATGGCACCCCAAAGGATTTGGAGACTTGCTTGGCCACGGGTTTGTCCCCCAGGCAAGGGTCTGTGCCCTCTGTGGGGTTGCACCCAGGCATCCCTGTGCCAAGCTTCAGGTGGGGAACCTCTGGAGACAGGGGAGACAGGCAGGCCTGTCGCGCACCCCAGACTGTCTGCCCCGCCGCCCCCTCACCCCACCCTACCCCACCCCGAGGAACTCATCGCTCTGAATCCCGTCTCGTCTGTATCATTTGTCTGTCTCCCATTCGAGGCTGGGAGCTCTTCCAGGGCCCGGGCTTTGCCTCCCCTCCCTCTCTCCCCTCAACTCTTTCCTCCCTCCATTCACTAAACACAAACTGTTTCTTAGGCTTGAGTTCTTTATTCCTGCACCCTTGACCCTGACACAAAGCCTGGCTCACGGCGGTCACCGGGCCTGCGTCCACTGGCCCCACAACTGCCCCAAGATGCCAGGCCCATGGGCTTGGTCTTGCCGAACTCCCCTGAGGGGTACAGCTCCAAACATGGCAAAGGGCCCCCTCTCCCTGGAAAGAGCTGAGGCCGACAGGAGGGAGGAAATTTGGCCTTGAATCTGGGCCTGGTGGCCAGGCCTGGCTGGGGTGGGGGTGGGGGTCCAGAGGGAGAAGGACATAGTTTTCTTCGCAGAGACCTTGGTCGCAGGAAGACCTGGGCCCCATAAAGGCTGATTCAAGCAGGGATGGAATAGCCCTCCTCTCTCAGGCCCACAGGGCCCTCTCCCTACCAAGCCCTATAGCCTGCTGACCCCCAGGTCTCCCCTCAGGCCCTGAGCCCCCTCCTGCCCCCTCTCCTCTGCACATCCGAGGAGACAGCCAGTGTCCTGGGCGTCCTAGCCACGGGTGTGCAGCCTGGTCAGGCTGAGCCTTTGGGTCTGAGTTACCTGCACCCCTGGGGCCCCAGACCTGCAGAAACTGGCATGGCTGAACCATTCCGAGCCTTACAAGTCCCTGCCGTGGGCTCTCAGGCTCTTAGGAAGGGTCCCAAGCAACTTTTCCCCAACAATCTGCCCAGGGTTTGCAGGGAGGCTGCGTCAGGGGCAGCTCCCCGGTGGCAGCCCCTGGGGCCCTGCGAAGCGGTGGGGAGTGCTTTCAGCCTGCCTTTAATTACAGACTGCGTTCCTGGTGCCTGGTCCATCTATATTTATCTGCAGGATCTCACTAATTAAATTCCCCGCAGCACCCGGCAGGCCTGTGGACAGCGAGCGAACGAGTGAGGCAGACAGGCAGGGGGGCTGCAAACTTCCTTCCTTTCCTTCTTGGCCAAGAGCAGAACAGAAGCAGCCCAAACTCCCTCTCCCTCCCCCCAGCCCCCACCCCCGCCAGCACCCACGTTCGAGGCGCTGCCCAAAGTCCCGGTCCAGGGACACTCCAGCTCTGTGCTCTGTAGTTCCCTGGGCACCCAGGACCCACAGGTCCCAAGACCAGACAGTGCCCAGCCTCCTCCCCCCTTCCACTCGGATTCCTGCAGCAAACAGAAAAGTCTGCCCGAGCAGCCGCTGAATCCCCAACTCTGCCACTTTGCCGTGCTTCTTACCGTAGGAGTCGTCTTGGTCCAGGAGGGAGTCGGGCTCCATGGCGTATGGGCCCCCAGCCCCTGGCCCCACCTGATTTATGAACCGAGGCTGTCTCCATGAGCGTCTGGGTTTCTCCTTTTGTATTCCATCTGGCGGCTTTTCCAACTAGATGACTGGGTATTCCTGCAAACAGGCCCCTTTCCAGCCCTCGCCTTCATACAGTACATTTAAAGTAGCAGTAACCTCTTTTTCCTCCCCCCGCAGCCCGGCTGGAAACATTAGAAGGGACCGAAGCAGCGAGATGTCTAAAATAGGAAGACGCCAGGGACGACTGGCCTGGCTGCCCGCGACGCTGGCTGCGGGGATCTGGCCCGGCTGTGCAGATGGAAAAGCTCAGAGGTAAGGCTGAGCCTGGGCTGAGCATCTGGAAGCTACTCTGGGGCCCTGGGGTCTGTGAGGAGGGGGGAGGCTGACCCACCCGTGGGAGGGGATGGGGGGTCCGCTCTGTTCACCACCCAGCGCCCAAACCCCAGGGGCTTCTCCCAGGCCCTGCTGGAACCTCCCACTCAAATCTGTTCCACAGACATTTCCTGCAGTGTGGGGGATGCAGAAATTGACTCATCCATCCATTCAGTCAGACGCTAGATTTTTTTTTGAGCATCTACTCCACGCCAGACACCGGGCCAGGTGCTGGGTTTGCAGTGGGGAGCAAGTGGCAGTGTCTCGTCTCTTGGAGCTCACAGGTAAACAGGTCAGTGCAATGCAATGCATGCCATAAGCACTGTGGGAGCATAAAGAAGGGCTGCCTCATCCAGACTGGGGAGGTGGTCAGGGAAGCCTTCCCAGAGGAATGGACATCTAAGCTGGGGCTTCGTGGATGAGTAGGAGTAAGCCAGGTGAAGGATTTGCCAGGTGGAGACAGTGGCCTGTGCCAAAGCCTCGAAATGAGAGCGTACTTGGAGGGTTCAGCGCCTCCCAGATAAGTTCCAGGTGGTTGGAGCAGCAGTTGAAGCTGGGGTGGTGCAGGGAGATGGAGCCGTGGGGAGAAGCAGGGGAGGTCGGGCAGGGTCTCACAGGGATGGTTCTCAGGCTTGGCTCAGGGGATGGCCAGTGGGAGTGATACATTCCAACTTGTCCTTTAGAAAGGCCTCTCTGGCTACTGTGTAAGAGGCGGGCACCAGGGTAGGGCTGGACCGGGGAGGCTGTCAAGATCCCCACGGAGAAGGACACGTGGCCTCTAGCAGCAGAACAGCTATAATAAGGCTAGGTGCCGCTCACTGAGCAGCCACCAGAACCGGGCACCACCCAAGTGTTACCCTCATTGTCTCCTTCACTCCTCAGTGACCACCCCCACCCCCAGCAGAAACTCTGCTCGTCCTGTTTTGCAGATGAGGGCAGTGCAGCTTAGAGAGGGGAAGTGACTTGTTCGAGGCTTGTGAGTAGCCTTCAGGCCAGGCCTGGACCTCAGAGAGGTGACAGCCTTGGCCCTGGGGGACTAGAGGAGAATAAAGAGGCAGTAATTCAATCTGCATCAGACCCAGAATACGGAATAGGGCCCCAGGGTTGTGGGAGAGGGAGGGTGTCATTGGGTCCAATCAAGGAAGGCTGCCTGGGTAAGGAGGCATCTGAACAGGACAGAGAGAAGAGCGGGATTTGGGTAAGTAAGCAAGGGAAGATGAGGGCATCCCAGAAAGAGGGAATAGCACAAGCAGAGACACGGAGGCAGGAAGGCAGCAATGGGAATGACAGCTGATTGGGAGAATGTCAGGGCAGATGAGCCGACTGGGGCTAGAGCAAGAGGGCATGGAGTGACAGCCTGGAGCGTGGGCCTGGTCCAGGAGGTGATCACAGCCCCGAAGGCCTCTATTTCAGAAAATGGTTGTCATCCCAACGGAGGCCTGGGCATGCCTGCTGACAGCCGCTCCTCAGTCTTCTCCTTAATGCTCTGTACTTACAGCAGGAGAAACTTTCTGCCCGCACAAAATCACTAGAATATTCAAAGCCAAGCTTCAGCGACCAGATTTTTGGAGACATGGCTCTGGGGCTGAGGCAGAGGGAACATCAGGAGGAGGGAGATGCCAGGAGGCTGGCAGGAGGGCCCAGGCCAGGAGTGGCAGGGCAGGAAAGACCCACCTGGGCCCCTCCCAGACACCCGCCGCTGCCCAGCCGCTCCCAGAGCAGCCAGTGGCTGCCGACAGGGTTGGCTCAGCCTCAGGGAAGCGCCTTCTGTCACCCCTCACTGCCCCTCCTTGATGACAGAGATCCCAGCTCCCAACCTCCCGCTGCCTTAATTACAGGGAGGTCAGGCCCTACCCTGGCAGCGCCGGGACCTGGCTCCCTGGATCTCTGACTCAGTGGGTGTAGGGGGGCAGGCTGCAGTTGGGGAAGGGGGTCTAGAAGTGGTGGTTGGGGCCCCCCGACCACCAGGCCACAGGTGAGTTCAGGTCCAGTACGCACCCTTCCCCAGCGGCCCAGGGTCTCTGCGAATTCTGGAAGCTCAGGGGATTCGGGGGCTCACTTGCACATAGGCACCTGTGGTCTCTTTCTAGCTACAGGGCTGAAATCAACCACCTGGGTTTCCATCCAGGCTGTGCTGCTCACAAGCTGGGTGACACCGAGGTAGTTACCCCTCCATGGGAGTCATTGGTGGAATGGGCCTCTCCTGGCCCCTCCTCATTGGGTGGGTGGTTGCGAGGATTATCTGGGCTAAGGTGCATTAGGGCTTTAGGGTGGGACCAGGCTGGCGTGGCTTAAGCACTCAATAAAGGGTAATGCTCATCCTTATCCAAACTTTCATTGCCTCCACAGCCTAGAAGGGAGGGAGGGGGAATTGGAGGCCCCTTTTACAGATGAGGAAACTGAGGTTCCAAAAGAAGGGACTTCCCTCAAGTGTCTCACAGTGAGGCTCAGGATGCACCCCTCACCAGCCTGTGCCCCCAGAACCAGCTGGGAGCAGGAGGTGGGGCTTGGTGGTGGGGGACCTGGGTCCTCCCCGTTCTGCCTGTCTCCGGGTGGCGTGACCCTGGGCGGGGCGCTTCCCTCTCTGGACCTCACTTTCTCACAGGTCAAGGTCAGTAGAATTAGCCTGACAGCTCCCACCCTCCCAATCCATTTCCCTCACTTTATGAATTAGACGAGCAGAGGCAGGGAGGTGACACAAAACAGGGAGTGACAAGGAACTGGGAGAGTGTTTAAACGCAATCAGAGCTCTGACCCTGAAGGGACACTTTTATAGTAAATGTGTCTCCAGCACTGGGCTCTGCTTCCTTCCCTTGGGGACACAGTGCACACAGACCCACCTGCTGATTGGTGGCTGTACCGCCTTCTGCCCTTTGGCTGTGCCACCCCTGACGTGGACCGTTCCCCTACGGGTCTGCCTGATGGGAGGTCCCTGTTGCCACCACCTCCTCCCGCCCCAGAGCATCCAGCAGGGCCACTCAGCCAAAGAGGAAAGGAGTATGTCTGGATGGAGGGGGCAGGGAGGCTCGGAGGTGGGACAGGGCTGGTGAGAAGACATGTCCAGACCAGCCTGGGATCTGCTCCCTGGTGGCCCCACCTTACATCCTGGGCCCCTCCGAGCATCTGTCTTTCGCCGTCTCTTGTATTTAAGGAGAGGACAGCTTTGCACTTTTGCCTGTTCAAAGGTCACAAAATTGAGGGCTGGCACCTTTTAATAGGTTCTGAGTCAGCCGACAGGGGACAAGGGCAGGTTACAGAGCAGCCCTGTCACCGGATTCAAGGAGGGTCTCCTCCTGATGCCAGCAGCTCCGTGCCTGTGTTCCCGAGCTCTCTCAGGGAATCCTAACCACGTGGTCCTGAAGAAACTAGGACTCAGAGAAAGGAAACGCTCATCAGCCCCACAGCCCGGAAGTGGCGGGAGCAAGGCCCAAGCTGTGGGGCCCCACATGCACTGCTGGGCCGGATCAGAAACTCGAGTCCTTCGTGGCGCTGCTGGGATGGTTAAGTCACTTGCCTCTGGTGGTCACACGGTGGATTCCAAGGCCCAGGCTCTCAACCACAATGCACCCTGGGCTGCTCATCCTGCAAAGGCGAAGCTGAATTATCATTAAAGAACCTCAGATCTTTCCAGGAAGAAGCAAGCTCTAAAGAAATGCGGCATTTAGGGGACTTCCAGGGCTGAGGGGATGGGTTCAGTGGCCTGGGGGCCTCAGAGTTCCCGAAATAATGGATTTTGCGAGGAGCTCTGGGGCTCCATGTGAGATCCTGGCTGCTGGGTCCCCGGGGCCCTGCTTTGGGTCCCGTGAAATCCTGGCGACACAGGCACGCCCTGCATTCTGGCAGCAGGGATGAGACACGGCTGCTATGATGTGAGGGGCATTTTCAGTGGCTAGCGGGGGTAATCCTCTCCGTCTCCTCCCTGAGCACCCAGAACTTGGCCTTAGGGGTGCCCACGCATCCAGTCATCGCCCCAAGAGAATCCCAGGCTTCCCAGAGCCCTAGGTTGGAGGCTCATCCAGTGCAACCCTCCCCACCACTCAGTAGGGCAGGAATACCCACCATGACATCCTTGTTCCAAACTCAGCTTACTTACCTCTCAGGATGGGGAACTCCCTCCCTCCCAGGGAGTCAGTTGCTTCTGATTCCAAATAAGGTCCTTCCTCAGTGGAGTCAGGCTGAGTCCTCCTGCTGCCACCACACTGGTCCTCACTTTTTCCCCCTGTAGTCACAGAGTGACTCTGCCTTGGGGGAAGCCCCTGCGGCCACCAGAACCCCCTACCTGAGCTCAGCCCTGTGCCCTCCACCTGACCCGCACCCCTCCCCACGCTCCCTGGCTTGTGTTTTCAGGTTTTGTGGTGAGTCAGGAAAAAAACCCAAGAAGCCTGGAAGCGTTTTACCGACATGGCAGTGACGGCAGTCATGCAATTCAGCAAACTTTAGCCAGAGACTGTGCCAAGTGCTGGAGACACAGAAATGAATCAGAGTCCCTGCCCGCCCGCCGGTGAGGATCTCCACGAGGATAGAGGTGGGAGGGAGAAGAGGGACACCCAAGGCATCTGCCAGGAGCGGGCGGGTCAGCAGCGTGAACGCCCCCTGCTGGCCACAGGGAGGGTTGGAAGCGATCTTTCAGGATGGCTCGTTCCATCCTCTGATTTTTGTTATCAGCCACCAAGTGCTGCGGGGTGGGCTGAGCCACCATTCACCCAGCCGTCCTCTACTGAGGGACGTCCGGGCTGGTCCCTGTCTTACATGATTACAAGCCGTGCTGCTGTGACCCTCAGCACACACATCTATCTCTGTACACCAGCGTTAGTATTGTTGGATTCTCGGAAGCAGAATTGCTGTGTCAAAAGACATGAGAACTTAAAATCTGGATTAGTGTGGCTTACTGGAGCAGCTTCCCCTCACGGCTGGTAAGAAGCACTGCAAATTCTCCGGGGCCTGGAGAAGTCCTGTAGGGGCCTTTCAGGATCTGGGACCTCAGCATCTCAGGTGCTCCAGAATGACTCTGGGGCTCAGGTGTCTCCAAGTAGATGGACCTGCCTCTTCCTACAGAGTCAGACCCAGGGCAATACTGCCCAATCAACTTGTTGGTCCATCCCTCCATCCAGCTATCCGAGCATCCATCCATCCATTCATTACTCACTCATCCATCCAAGCATCCATCCACCATTCCATCCACCCACCCACCCCTCCATCCATCACTCACCCATCCAAGCATCTATCCATCCACCTTCCCAGCGACCCACCCACCCACCCATCCATCCATTTAGTATTTGGTGAGCACTGATGATGGCTTCGGTACTCTGCTGCTGGTGGTGAATACAATCATATTCCTGCCTTTTTAGTCTTCACTGTCTGGTGAAGGCAGGTCTACACATGCCAGGTACTGAGAATACAGCAGGAAACACAAGAGGAAAACAGTCCCTGCTTTCCAGGGTTTACATTCTAGTGGAAGAGATGGATAACAAACACATACACAAACGTGGTATGTGGGGGGATGATAAGGGTTCATGAGGGAGATAAGGCAGAGTGAAGGGGGTAGGAAGCCCTGGGAGTCAGGCTGTGTGTCATCTGGTCAGAGGAGGCCTCTCTGAGCAGATGCCCAGGGCAGTGATGGAGGGAGCTGTGCAGATACTGGGGGGCAGGGGTAGTGTCAAAGGCAGAGGGAACAGCCAGTGCAAAGGCTCTGAGGCAGGGATGTTCAGTAACAGCCGAGGAGGCCAGCATGGGGGTGGCGGGAGACCAGGTCAGCTCCCAAAGGTCTTGTCGGCAGGGAAGGGCTTAACTGTTACTGAGTGAGGAGGGGCCTGTGGAAAGTCTGGGGCAGAGGGAGGTTGGTTGCCGGGTTGGGCATAGATCACAGGGGGCCAGGGCTGAAGCAGGGACAAGGGTCAGGAGGCCAACGAGAGATTTTGGACCACATGGTTGGGTGGAGGTGTGAGGAGGGTGGGGAGGGGTATATTTTGAAGGTAGCCACAGGCTTTCCTCATGGACTGGATAAACAGGAGTGAAGGACAACACCGAGGTTTTTGGCCTCATGAACCAGAAGAATGGGGACGAGGGAAGAGGAGCAGGTGGAGGAAGGGAGTTTGAACCGAGAGCTTGATCTGAACGTGGGTAGTTGGATGTGCATGTTAGCCATCAGGCAGAGAGGTGAGGAGCAGCCCGTGGGGTGCAGCCTGGGGTTGGGGGACAGGTCCAGGCTGAAGACAGAAACATGGGGCTGTCAGCGTGCACATGCCTGGATGCCAGCCCCAAGAGACAGAGAAAATGGAGTAGAGGTCTGGGGGCCCATTCCTGGGGCGCCCCATCATTAAGAGGGCAGGGAGATGAGGAAGAACCTGTCAAGAGAACAGGGAAGGAGCAGCCAGTGAGCAGGAGGAGGAGGACACGGAGGGCGGGGACTGGGAGCCAAGGGGAGGAGGGATTTCAACCCCGGGGGGCATGACTGCTGTGTCAGGGGATGCTGAGTACCCGCGTGAGCTGGGGGCACAACACTGACCGCTGGGTTTGGCAACATAGTGCCACCTGGGCAGAGACGGGGGAACTCAGGTAATTGTGGGAGCCCCAAGGAAGGGCACTGAACAAGGAGGGCTTCCTGGAGGAAGGGGTGTCCAACTGGGAGTCTGAGGGACACATATACATTCGCCAGGTAGAAAGGGGATGTCCCCACTGAGCAATCAGTACAAGGCCAGGAGGCGAGAGTAGTCACAGCTTGTTTGAGAAACTGAAGATAAGTCTGGCTGTAATATGGGGTGCGGGATGGGTGAGATGGAGGGGGGTGTTATCCTCACAGGACCCTAGAGAGGTCAGCAAGGCTGATGGTGGGGTCCTTGATTAGAGACCAGGCTTCGGTGGCAGAAGAATGGGTGGGAAAGGGAGGAAGGGGGTGGTGGCTGGGGGAATGGGGAGCCAGGATGAGAAGTGATTTGGGGAAGGGTGATGAATTCAGGTAAATTTAGGGTGCTGAGGACGCTCAGGGGGAGACCTCCAGCATCATTGGGGCCCGTGGGCTGGGCACTGGGGTCTGGGAAGTGACCATAAGTTCAGGGAGGATGCTGGGAAGAGCTGGGTGGAGCTGAACCACACACTCAACTCTTTCCTGGTGCTGCCTGCCCGAGGTCAGCCTGTGTCCAGCCGCCCTCTGTGTGCTGGGAAGGGACCCCGGCAGCCTCCGGTCATTGTGGCTTGTTCTTCCAGAGAGCAGGAGCCCAAGGGGAGCCCAGTGGTTCCTCTGGATGGGCTGTTATGTGCCTTGTCCCTCCCATCTCCATCCCAACCACAAGGCGCCTTTGTCACGCCCCTCGGGCACCTCAAAAGGAAGGGGCCCCCACTATTTGCTGCATGCCCATAAACATCGATTCATGGAACAGTAATTTATGGAGCACCTACTAGGTGCCATCCTGGCCCTGGGAAAGCAATGATGACCCAGGCAGACAGGCCTCTGCCCTCCAGGGGCCCACCATCCAACAGGAGAGGCAAGCAATCCATATAGAATTAGATCAAGTGTTGTATTAGAAGAGGGAGGCGGGGGACCCTTAGGGATCAGAAGGGCTTCTAGCAGGAGACAACATTTAAAGTATAGGTCTGAAGGATGAGTCAGAGTTAGCCAAGAAAAAAGGGGGGTGGACAAGAGTTTGAGGGAATGGGAATAGCATGCAGAAGGCTCAGAGGTGAGAGAGAATGACAAGTGGGAGGGAAAGAAAGGATTCAGTGTGATGGAGCAGGGGGTGCCTTGCGGTGGTGGTGGGTTGGGGTGTGCTGGTGGTGAAGAACCTCAGGAGGCAGGCTGAGGACCGTGGACCTTCTTCTGAGGGCAATGGGGAGCCATGGAGTGTCTTAAGCCGGCAGGGACTTGCTCAGGTTAATCTGTGGGTGAATTTGGAGACAGAGACCAGAAACACTCAGTCTCAGTCCAGGATTATCTCATCCAAGGCTAGACACCCCCCTCCACCCTCTTGTAGCTCCCTTACAGGTTTGAACCCCTCCAGGGACCTAGAACTCACTACTTCAGGAGACAAGTCCTCAAGATGATTTAACAAGCTCCGTGAGAGCTCCACAAGCAGGCTCTGGGAGTCCAGTCTGGTCACTGGGATACCCGCGAGCTTTTAACTCAGCGCGGCGAGGCGCGAGGTGGGCTGCGAAGCACCGCGGCGTGGATAATAGCCTGGCAGCTGGCGTTGAAAGGCTCCGGAGCCACCTACGGGGGCGATTGGCTTGTTGCGTGCGAGCGCTCCGGATGCCACCTGGTAAGGCTGTCGGCAGGATGCTGAAGAAATAAATCTGTTCATGAAGATGCGCCGCCTCCTCCCCACCGCGCAGCACCCCACTCCCTCCCACCACCACTCCCGCCTCTTCCGGGGGCGGCTGAACCTGCCCCGCAGCGCCACCGTGTGGGCAAAGCGGGTCAGGACAGCAGGAGATCGGTCACTCTGCTCCAGGTGCTAAGCGCTGGGCAGAGGAAAAGAATCCCATCCTAAATGGCCTTTTCAGGCTGCAAGGCACACCAGGTCCTATTCTTACTGAATTAAAAAAATTATTTCTTCAGAATGGAACTATATTTGCGGCCTGCTTGCGATTCTTAATCATTTAAGTAATACATACTTACTGAAAAAATATGCAATCTCCATAGCTGGCAGAAATTGATCATTTCCTCCCAGCATTCATCCTCCCCAGCCCCCTACTGATTGCATTTTGGCAAATAGGCTTCTGGATTTTTTTTTCTACAGGAATATATATATATATTTCTATTTGTCTTACTTATTTTCTGTTTCCTTTATTTCTTATATACACATACATGCAAATGAGATCATATTATGTGTGCCTGATGTTTTGCCATTTGCTTTGCTTTTTAAATTTGTTTTTGTCAACTGTTGAGCAGAGACAAAAGAATATTTATCTAACACATGTACAGTGTGTGAAGCAGGTTGAAGTGAACCCTTTGTGCCCACCACCCAAGTTTATGATTTAATTTTTTTTCAGTTAAAAATATTTTTTTCTCCTTTCTCACGTTACTCTGGGTTGATTTCACACTTTTTATTAACCCACGTCATCTCTTCTTTAGCTTGTTAGTTTTCCATTCTTTCAGTGCTTACTCTACAGATTACAACGCGCATCCTTGACTTATTAAAGTCTAATATAAATTAGTACTCCTACCACTTGCAGAAAGATGAAGGAATCTTAGGCCGCTAAAAACTCCATTTACCCCCTCCTGACTTACATGCTATTGTCATTTGGTGCCATCTGGAAGTTTAATTCTTTATATACTTCAAGCTCCACAAGAGGATATTATTACTGTTTTGTACAGACAATATTTATTTAGATTAACACCGTATTTTTCTCTCTCCATTTTCCTTCATTTCTTCTTGCATTTTCAAGCTTCCACCAGGGATCCATTTTTCTCCTGCCTGAAAACCATCCTTTGCTAATTCTTTTGATGGGGTGAGCCAGTAATGAATTATTACAGTTCTCATTTGCCCAAAAGACCTCTGTTTCGCCTTCATTTTCAAAGGGTGTTTTTGTTTGTTTGTTTGTTTCAGTGTTTGTTTGTTCGTTTGTTTTCTTGCTGAGTATATAATTTCAGCTTGGCAAGAGAAGACAAGTAGGGAGAGAAAAGTAACAGAAAATTGGGACAAATAGAAAACAAACAGTAAGATGGGACACCTGCAGCTGAATATATCAGCAATTAATTTAAATGTAAGCAGATTAAATACCCCACTTGAAAGCCAAACATTAACACATTGGATTAAAAAGCAAATAAAGGCCAATCATATGCTGCTTACAAAAGAGCGATGTTTGATATAACAAGATAGATCTGTACCTCGAAGGAGTGTGTATGTGTGTGTTGATATGTTGCTGTGTTTGCTTTGCACATCTGTGTGGCCCCTCTTGCTGCACAACCACTTCCCCTCAGTAAGTTGGGCTCTCTGTTCTCTGGGCCTTTGCACATGCTACTTGCTCTGCCTGAACACCCTCTCCTTTCCCCACCCTCACCTTTGCCTGGCGCTCTCTCGCTCATCCATTAAGAGGAACTGAAAGAGTGTTCTCCCCTGGGGAGCCTTCCCTGAGCATCCATCGTGTCTGGCCAGGGGCCACACTGGCTCTTGTCCATCTCTGTGTCCCCAGCACTGTCAGGGACATGGCACAGAGAGAGGCCCAGAAACTGCTTGTTGAATGAATAAAAGAATGAGGGACAGATACAGGTGCTGGGGAAGACTTTTCGATTCAACAAGTCTCCCCTGCTCAACTCAAAAAAACCAAACTGTGGTCAGAGCCGGCAGGTCTCTCAGAGACGAATCGAATCCGAGAACCAGCAGCATGGGCACCACCGACTGAAACGCTTGTCTGAAATGCAGCTGCCCAGCTCCCGCTCCAGACCCACCGAATCAGAATCTGCCTTTTAAATACATGCCCAGGTGATTCACCTGCACATCACAGAGTGAGAAGCACTGCTCTCTGGTCCCCACTTCCCATTTCACAGACACGGTAACAGGCGGCAGAGAGGAGGGCCTCGCAAGGCAGTGACAGGGTTGGGACTTCGAGTCCCAGGTGGCCTCCTTTCAGGTGCCAGGCTCCTGCCCCCACCCCACCTTCAGTGCACCCCCCCGGCACGCATCACCTTTCTGGTTGGCTTGGCCTCAGAGGCCAGACTCTTCCCTGGTCACCTCTTGGGGTCTCTGCAAGGAGCTCGCACTCCCCCTGGTGGAAGTAGGGAAAGATGGGCTGGCCTGAGTGGCCTGGACACTTGTCTCCAGGTCTAACATGAAGGAATGGAGAAGGGGTTGGAGGGGGGGGGGGGGAAAGAGGGAAGGGGGTTGGGGGTAGGGTTGGGCTAAGACACTTGCTCTGGAAAAGGCTGTCTGAGTCCACAGTGGCTTCACCACATATTATGTGTGCAGTCTGGGGCCATCTGATCCCCTTCACTGAGCCTCCATTTCCTCATCTGCAAAATGGAGAGAGTAACGATGGTGCCTACATCATGGGCTGTTGTGAGGATTCCAAGGGGTGATGCTGGGAAAGCTCTTAGAAGAGTTAGGGGACCAAGGTGATAGGAGAGCCATCCGATGTAGAATTCCTGTGAGCCTCTCCGTCCCTCCCTTGCCCCCTGGGAGGCTTTCAGAGACCACTCAGCCCACCCCTTCCTTACTTCACAGGGGGAGATGGAGGCCCGGTGAAGGGAGGCTAAAGAAATATCCACTCCCAGTGGTGGCGGTGGTGGCGGTGGTGGGGCGGTCCAGGTCCTGTCCCTGATGCCTGGGATGTGAAAGGCTGAAGTCTGGACGGGGAGTGACTTTGGGGGACAGGAAGCCAGGAAAAACACATGCTCTGGAGTCAGACAGTTCATGTTCAAGTCTGGCTCAGCCACAGACCAGTTGGATGAACTTGAGCAAGTGACCTTGCAGCTCTGGGCTTCGGTTTCCTTACCTGGGAACATTCTCCCAGGACTGTTGTGAGGTTTATAGGAGATGGCGTTAAGCACCCAACACTCAGAAGGCCCTGTGGTCCCTGCTGTAACTGACACGGGCCAGCTGGGAGGCCAAGGGAAGGTACCCAGTCAGACCACAGCAGCTGCCACGCCTGAGCACAGGGTGGTGGGGTCTCTGGGTCCTTCCTGGGCATCAGGAAGGTGGTATCAGGGTGAGGGAGTGTGGGGGGCCAAGACCAGTAACCAGGTTGGAGCATGGTCTATGAGCTAAGAAAGAGTGCCCTGGGCTGGGGTCGGCTTTCAAAAGAGCCAGCTTCCAAGGCTGATGGTCAGGTTCACCCAGATCAGGAATCTCCCCAGGTGGGTCTTAACTGGGGACCATTCTGAGATCTGCCTCATCTATAGGCCCCTACAGGCCCTTCAAAGGGAACTGCCCTCAGGTGACCCTGGGGCCCCTACCAAGGCTGAGCCCTAGCTCCCAGGACACCATCTGTGGCTTTGTTAGTGACTTGGGCAGCTTGGCATAAAAAAATGAGCTGGACCAAGTCGATTAACCCCTCCGAGTTTTAAGACTGTCAGACAAAGGGGAGAGGGGGTTAGCAGGCAAGGTGGCCAACCCTGGCTGCCCAGGCCTTTCCTGATCCTGACACTGAGAAGTCCTGCTTTCCAAGAAACAGACACAGCTGGTCAAAAACACAGTAATGGGAGCAAAGGCTAAAGAAATGCGAGTGAAGCTGTGAATACTGATCACAGCTACTGATCATCGAGTGTATACTGTGTGCCAGGTCCTGGGCTAAGAACTTTTTCCTTTTAAGATATTAAAAATTATTTTAGAATTTATTTTTAATTTGCCATTTTAACCATTTTAAGCGTACAATTCAGGGGCATTAAATATATTCACGTTTGTGCAACCATAACCACTATTCACTTCCAGAAATTTTTCGTCATTCTGTTAACAAGGCTGCTGCCAAAACTGTTGCCCCAGAATCATACCTCTGCCCCTCCCTCAACTGGAAACCAATTACCCTTATCCAAGTTTCAGAAGGACGCTGAATAGAGAAAAAAAAAAACAAACAAGAACTGGTTAGAACCATCTAGGCCCAAGATGGTGGAAGATCTGACTTCCACTAGACCTTGAGCCTCATTATATGCTCATTGTAATATATTAGCATGCCAAGGGACACACCCACCAGCTCCATGACAGTTGACGGTTGCCATGACAACACCAGACAAGCCCATACGAGGACTGCAAAGGAGAATGCATCAGTTCTAGGTCCAAACCATACCCCATTTTTGGATAAGTCATGAACATTCCTCCCACTCTGTCCAAATCCCTCCCTTTTAACTCAGCCTTCCTGTATGTGGTGTCTCCACCTGAACTGGGCTGAGACGTTCATTTGTGAGCTAGGCCCCTGTTCTCTATTCTTCGTCCATCAAATAAAGCTTGTGTTGTTCCAGTCTCAGCATTGGCTTCATGACTGGCTGTGCAAATCCCACCAGAAAAAGAACCTCCCTGGCCTGGACAAGGGGTCTTGGCCTGGACTAGGACCCTGACACGCATCCAGTCAACCAGTTCGCTGGTAACAAGTCCAAGCAGAAACTCTCTACCCATTCAACAGGAACTCCCCATTCCTTCCTCCCCCAACCCCTGATAGCCTCTATTCTACTTTCTCTGGTTGCCTATTCTAGGTACCTCATGTAAGTGGAATCACACAATATTTCTCCTTTTGTGTCTGGCTTATTTCACTTAGCATAGTGTTTCCAAGGTTCATCCACGTCATCACATGTCAGAATTCCATTCTTTTTAAATTAAGGCGGAATAACATTCCATTATGTGGACATTTTGTCCATCCATTCATCTGCTGGTGGGTGCCTGGGTTGTTTTCGCCTTGATTGTGAATAAGCCTGCCACGAACGTTGGTGTAGAAATATCTGTCCCTGCTCTCAGCTGTTTGGGGGTAGATCCCAGGAGTAGAATTGCTGGGTCACGTGGTGATTCTATATTTATCATTTTGAGGGGTGGCCAGCCTGTTTTCCACAGCAGCTTGTGCTCAGCGTTCTTAGTGCCTTAGCTCTGGCAACGCCACCCAGGAGGCTGGCCCTGCTATTGGCCCAGGTTCCTAGGGGAGGACCTTGAGATTCGGACAGATGAAATAGTGTCCCATGTCCCTCAGCTAACAAGCGCAGAGCCAGGATTCAAACCCAGACTGACTGACGCCCATGAGCCCCTGTGGCCTGGCCCTGGGTTGGCCTGAGTCTTCATACCCTCAAGGGAGCAGTGGCTACAAACAGGAGAGGGAAGATGCCCAGAAGTGCCTCAGCCCCCACCAGCTCCCTGGCTGTGGTTCCTCAAAGGCCGCTGATACTGGGCTTTCTGGATGGAACACACCTGTCTTTGTCCAGCATCTCTCTTCTGGCCACTAGACACCCCCTACCCCTATTTTCCCTAAGGAACTCCTAAAATTCCAGTTAAAGCGATTGG